ATGTGGTTTCATTAACTTTGCCAAAATATTGACATTTCATTGAATAGAAAAGTTTTCCAATACATAGAAATTACAACTACCACAACACAAATATCATCAACGTTTACATTTAAACATAAAGTACAAATTAAACATAAAAAAATTACAATAAGTAACATTTTACTTATCCAAAAAAATTGTTATGATTTTAGTTTGTTCTTCTTCTATGCATCTTTATACAACTCTTTCAACAAACCCACTGCTTCATTCTTGTTACGCTCATCTTCGTTTCTAGTTTTAGCTTCTATATCTTCATCCCATATGAACAATTGCAAGTGTCATCACTCCTCCAATTTGAAAATCTCAAAAAAAGTTTATATTTGATGGATCCCTTCTTGAACTGATACGAAATCAATCGCCCTTGACAAACACACAAATGTTCACCACGACTTTTTACAGATGAGGATGATATAAATGGTACGTTTGTTGAGTTTGTATTTGAAGATAACATTGTTACAACTTTGTGTTTCAACTTTCTTATTCGTGGTGAAAGGGGAAGAAAAAGAGAGGACGACTTGGAAGAACGAAGGAATTAGGGCTTCGATTGTTCAAAGGCAACTTATAAACCATTTAAAAATATAGTTAAATATGTTTTTTCGTCCCTATAAAAATTTTCTTTGAATAATGACCCTCCTAAAAATTTTCTTTGAGATCAAGACTTTGGAAAAACTATATCACTTTATGGAAATTGATCTTCCACACTCTAAGAAGGAAATCTTTACATCTCAAACATAAATATATTACTTATCTTCTGCGAGAGATTTACAAGACAACATGAAAATCTCAAGTGTAAACATTAATTTTGGATAATAACAACTAAAGTGCAAGCATAATAAGCACTTAAAAGATAATTAAAATTTAATAATCACTACGAAAGCTTTTTAATGATGACATTAAACACGAATACATCTCAAGCTTTATCATCAAGAAAAATTCAAGCAAGTGTCTGGATAACTTAATCATATGATAAGTCTTAAAGCTTCGGAGTGATAAAAAGAGAAAGTGTGATAGCTTGCCAAGTCCTGCATGAGGGATCCAAGTGTTAAAAATATAAAGATTTTTTTCGTAAAGTCATATGACAAATCACAAGCACACACTAAAACAAGTTTTAAAACCTATTTTTTCTAAAGAAAAATTCCTAAATTTTTTTGGAGTGGTGCTAGTTGAATCGGGAATTCTCTGAACGATTTTGGACAAAATTTGAACTAGCCAATCGATTGAGTTAAGGCAACAATTATTCTTAAGACAATGTCTTAATGAATTACAACAACTCCATATTCTTTCTTTAGTTTAAAATATTTTTAACTGATATATTAATGCCTACTAATCAATTGGTGCATAATACCAATCCATTAACTCGGTCAAATTAATTTTTCATTTGTGTATAACTCTATCATAAATGAAAATAAAATAAAGATAAATAAATTGAAAAAAACAACCTCCTTATTTAAATTCAACGTGTCTTCTCCCAATACAATTATACTTATTACAAAAGGCTAAACATTAATAACTTTTAAATATTTGTTTCTAAACTAGAAATAATAAATATTTATTCCTTGATGAGATATTTATTACGTCTAGCGTTTAATTAATTTTTATAAATATTTAATACTAGTTAATTAATTTATTAAAATTCCTTATATTAGAACATTCTATTTATTCATGCCTTATATTCATTTAACAAGGCAGACTAAAAGATGAAATTGAAAATTTTGTAAAAAGAAATTTGTTAAAAAATTGAAAAGCATAAAAGCAAAATATAAAATATTTATAAACACAATAAAAATGAACCCAAAAAATAAACAAGTAACTATGTATATAGATACTAAGTGTAGTAGTATATAGTATAAATACGTGTATATGTGTATCTAGCTAGCATTGGAATCATCAAGGCGAGAAAGTAAGCATGTCAGGTCCAGAATGTTGCTCAAATCCACTAAAACTGAATGCAAGTGCAGGATGTGGTGACGTTGTCAAGATTGGTGCTCTTAATGTCTACGTCGTCGGTTCTTTTCGTCTCTGATATTTTTGGTACCATCTCTTTCTCTGCATCACTACACCAAAAATGATTTTTTGTATCACCTAATTTAATAGCACTTTTAAAAAAAATGCTATTAAAATGGAAAAAACACATTTATAATATCACTTTTTAATCGGGCGCTATTATATAATACAGACTATGTAATTTTGATAGCACTTTGTACCAGAGCGCTATTATTAAACTTCTTTAAGATAGTATTTTGTATAAAACGCTATTATTTGACTACCTATATAATAGCATTTATTAAAAAGCGCTATGTTATATATAATAATGAATTAATTAATTAATTGATAAAAAAAAAAAACAAAACACAATTAATCGATTCTTCTTTTCAATCCAAGCAGTACGGCGTCGCCGAACTCAAAACCCTAGGTAACGAACTACTCTCATCAGCCTCTAACATCAACAACCTCCCCCTTCTTCTCACCTTCGTCTCACCTTCTTCTCCACCTCAACACGTCCTCGAATCGCTTCTCTCTCTTCATTCTTTCTTCCTCCCTCTCCTCCCTCAACTACCTTCCTCCTCTGCCACTGCCAACACCTCCTCCTCCGACAACGCCGATGCCGACCAGTCTGAGTTCATTTACCTCACTTGGCTCCGTTCGAAGTTCGATGAGTTTCTTAAATCTCTGATAGATGTTCTTGTATCGGATCAATCTGATGAAACTCTGAAGGAAGTTGTGTTGGATACGTTGATGGAGTTTGTGAAGGTTGCTAATGGCGGCACCTTTCATTCTTCGTTGTATAACAGAATTATCAGTAGTATTGTAAGTTTCTCATTCTAATCGTAATTCTACTTTGTTATTTTTGTGCTCATAGTTTGATATATGATATTTTTGTTTTGTTTTGCTTCATCAGATTCACTCTGCTAGTTCTGCTGAATTTTTGATTGATTTACTAACATCAAAGTATTTCAAGTATATTGATGTCAGGTATGATTAGTGAAGGGTTTTTCTTTACAAGTTAAATTGATTCGTTTACTCTGTTTTATGAGTTTTTAACTATTGTTTAATTCTTGATTGCTGAACTATTTTGTCACTCGGTGTAGTTATTTTACATTCATAAGTCTAGAAAAGCTAGCTAGAAATTTGGGGAAAGATGTTTCAGGTGATTTTCTAACTTAGCTTTTAATGTTCCAATTTTTTATTTGCAAAATTGCAGATAGGAGATTTATGTGTTCTGTTTCAATTTCTCTAAATATTTGGGTATTCTGATTGGGTAACTCCTTTTCTTACCTTTGTTATTAGATGATAAAACTGCAAGTGTAGATGGCAATGATGAAAGTCAATTGAGCTCAAAGTTAGTAAAATCTATAGACACTGGTTATTTCTACTCTTTGGTCTTAAGTGATTTGTATCTCGCATGTTTTATATACAAAAATGACTTCTATTTTTATCATAAAAAATATACGAAAATGACATGTAATGTCATACAATATGCTATACTATAAGCAATATATTTATCTTTTCAACTCAATGTATAATGAAAGAAAGCAGTTATAATTTTTCTGCCAGGCAAACTTGGTCTTAGTTTTGAAACTAGGAGATGGATAATTTACTTGTAAATGTACTTAATTTGTTCTATAATTCTAATTTTGATTTGAAAATGTATCTTTTGCAGTATTGAGGGTGTCATCCACAATATGTACTATGCCATTTCACATGTCCCCTTTCTTGAAAAACCTGATGATAAATCTGATTTTGAAATGTGGAGTGTATCAGGTGAATGCTTGCTTATCACTTTTAGGCTCTTAAGATTTTCTTTTTACAATGTTTTATTTCACTATTTAGTGCTTCTTCTCTTCATTTTTTCTTCAGTAATTTGCATAAAATACTACTTTTTAGATTAAGTAAAAAGTATCTAGGTACTTGTTTAAACAAAGAGAGCAATATGAAGAGTAGTTACTTGTTTTTTACAGCCTTCATGGCCTTAGCATCTTGTGCTTTAGCATTTGATCCCAGCCCTCTACAAGACTTTTGTGTAGCTATCAATGACACCAATAATGGTGGTATGTATATATAATAATGTTTTTTCTGTTCATCAATTTATTACAGTCAATCAATTTAATCTCCGTATTTGATTTGCAGTGTTTGTTAATGGAAAATTGTGCAAAGATCCAAAACTTGCCACTGCAAATGACTTCTTTTTCTCAGTGAAAGAAGGAAACACATCAAATTCACTTGGCTCAAAAGTGACACCGGTTGCAGTTAACGAGATATTAGGATTAAACACTCTCGGTATCTCTCTTGCTCGCATTGACTTTGCACCTAGGGGACTAAATCCTCCACACACTCATCCAAGAGCTACTGAGATTCTTATAGTTTTGGAGGGTACTCTCTATGTTGGTTTTGTTACTTCTAATCCGCAAAATCGTCTCATTACAAAAGTACTCAACAAAGGAGATGTATTTGTGTTCCCTATTGGTCTCATTCACTTTCAGTTGAATGTGGGATATGGAAATGCGGTTGCCATTGGTGGACTTAGCAGTCAGAATCCAGGAGTTATCACAATTGCTAATGCTGTGTTTGGATCTAATCCAAAAATTTCTTCAGATGTTCTCACAAAGGCTTTTCAAGTGGACAATAAGATAGTTGACAATCTCCAGAAACAGTTTTGGTATGACAACAACTAGAGATGCAAGTTTTGATAGTTTATATCTGATTTACTCTTAGTTTAATTTCTTATTTTACCTTTTTGACATTGTTGATATTTATTATAAGATTTTAAGAAAATAAAAGTAGGGCATGATGTACCTTATATTCATATTTGAGCCATTTGAATAAAAAAAGTTTGCTTTCTAAATTGTATCTGTAACATGTTATTCTTAAATATAAAAAATAATTAATGGTAGCTTATATATCAAGCTTTGGTTGAGTTTACAAATTAGTCCTTTGTATCCTGCTTTGGCTTCAAAAGCAACATGTGTGTCTTGGTGAAGTCTAGTGGAAGGGAGGATTTTTATTTTGATAAGGAAAAATATGATCATGGTGATTTATGTCTCTTGAAATGAAAATATTTCTGTTGTTTAGATCAAATAAAAATGTTATTTTATTTCTAACTTGTATCCCAGGTAAATACACTTTCTAAATATAGGTCCTAGCTTTGATAGAACTTTAATTAAAACGCTATTATAAATTGGTACTTTAATAGCGCTTTTAAAGTGCTATTAAATAAGAAATATTTACAATAGTGGCGCGGTTAATAGCACTTTTAAGCGCTATCAAAAACAAAAAAAAGCGCTATTAAATAGCTTATTTGGCGTAGTGCATAATGCTTAATATAATCAGTATTGTGTGTAATTTGACCAAAAACTTGTACTAACGGCATATGCTTCATTTTTCTTGCAGGACATGAAGCTCCAAATTTTAGGTATGGCTCATTCTCGTGTCTTTTGCATGTCTCGTAATTTTTGGAAGTTCAGTTATCTATTTCAATAAGTTTTTTTGGGGTTACTGTGTCAAAACTCAAAGTGATGTATGTATCTTGTAATTGTTTGTTCTTTGCTATGAAGGAAGCTTGCTGACAAAGTTGCAGCTGCGGGTTATTACGTCGTTGTCCCTGACTTTTTTTATGGTGAACCCTACCATCCTTAGAACCCTAATAGGCCCATGCCTATTTGGATTAAAGATCATGGATCAGTTAGTTCTTATTTAACAATTCTTTATTGGATTTTGATTTTGAAAGGTGCATGATAAATTTGTTGAATAAACTTTAATGTTATAGTTAATGGGTTTCTATTAATAAGTTAGTGGAAAGATTAAGGGTTTGTTGTAGTTGGAAGGGTCAGGAGATAGTGACCTATAATAGTATTTATTAATGTTATTTGTTTTCCTAGAATAGCAAAAATCTTTGAGTTTATATAAAGACTAAGGTTGTATTCTACTTGATAAGAAGTTATAAAAGTATTGTTTCCTTCTATCAAATTGGTATTAGAGTTAATGGCAAACATGATGAATCAAATGCCGTTGCCACGACTAACGAAGTCAAATTATGAAAACTGGAGTATGCAAATGAAAGCTCTTCTTGGATCTCTAGAGGCGTGGGAGGTGATCAAAAATGGGTTTGAAGAACCAATAGATGATGCGTGATATACAACAGCTCAAAACAAGGCGTAGAAAGAGACGCGATCGAAGGATAAAATGACAATATACATGTTGTTCAGGATTGTTGACGAATCAGGTTTCGAAAAGATTTCCGGTTCGACTACGTCGAAAGAAGCATGAGACACGTTAGAGAAAGTGTTCAAAGGAACAGGCCTAGTAAAGCAAGTTCGACTCCAAACTCTTCGTGGCGAATTGGAGAGGATGCAGATGAAGGAGTCAAAAACTGTATCTGACTACATCGCGCGTGTACAAAAGGTGGTGAACCAACTCACCGGAAATAGCGAAACAGTAACTGATGCACGAGTTGTTGAAATTTTTTTAAGATCTTTAACAGATATATTTGAGAATATTGTGTATGCAATAGAAGAGTCGAAGGACCTTTCGACGCTCTCAATCAAAGAGCTCATTGGTTTCTCGAAGCACATGAACAACGTAAGATGAAAAAGAAGGAAGAAGCAGTTGAGGAAGAAAATCAAACCAAGTAGTCGATCAAAGACGAAAAGATACTCTTTTCTCAAAACTTTTGAGGGAGGCGACGTGGCCGTGGAGGTCGTGACAGTGGTCGAAGTGGTCGAGGCAGCAACTTCGAGAGAGGACAATCGAGCCAACAAAATTGGCGTGACAGAGGACGTGGTCAAAGAGGTGGTCGGTCGAACTACTCCAACTTTGAATGCTACAAGTGTGGGAAGCATAGTCATTATGCGAAGGATTGCAATTCCTACAAATGCTATAATTGTGATAAAGTGAGACATCTTGCAAAAGATTATCATATCAAAAAGAAGGTAGAAGAAACAACCAATCTAGCTTTGGAAGCTGAAGCGAATGAAGGTTTCCTCTTGATGGCCCAAAATGAAATCAACACCAATAATGACAATGTTTGATATCTTGACTCAGGAGCAAGTAATCACATGTGTGGTCACAAACACCTATTTAAAGAAATGAAAAAAATTGAAGATGGTAATGTGTCTTTCGGAGATGCATCGAAAGTGAAGGTCGAAGGCAAGGGTACAATCTATTACTTACAGAAGGATGACTTGATTGAATCAATCCAAGATGTTTATTATGTACCAGATCTCAAGACCAACATCTTGAGTTTGGGACAACTTATAGAAAAAGGTTTTTCGATACTTATAAAAGATCAGATACTGCATTTGAAGGAAAGAGTGGGATATCAGATTGCTCGTGTTGAAATGGAAAGAAATCAAAAGTACGAACTGAATCTAAGGAACGTTCGAGAGAAATGTTTACAAGTCGATATGCAAGAAAAAGTGTCACTATGGCATCTACGCTTTGGTCATCTACATCATGCAGGTTTGAGAAGGTTGGCGAAAAAGAACATGGTGCACAGATTACCAGACATGGATTATGAAGGAAATTTTTATGAAGAATGTGTGCGTAGCAAACAAACAAGAACCTCATTTCAAAAGAAGGTAGAATATCAAGCTAAACATATTCTCAAATTGATTCATACTGACATATGTGGGCCAATCACTTGGAATCTTTCAGTGGCAAAAGGTACTTCATTTCCTTTATTGATGATTTCTCATGAAAGACTTGGGTTTATTTCTTGAAAGAAATGTCTGAAGTATTAGAGGTGTTCAAAAAATTCAAAGTAATGGTGGAGAAGGCAACTGATAAACACATCAAAGCAGTTCGATCTGACAGAGGTGGTGAGTATACTTTGACAACCTTTATAAAGTATTGTGAAGAGCGGGGCATAAGGAGATTCCTAACTGCATCATATTCACCTCAACTAAATGGTGTGGCTAAAAGAAAGTATCGAATAGTTATTGACATGACTCAATCAATGCTTAAGAGCAATAACATGTCGAAAGAATTCTGGGCAAAAGCTGTACAATATGCCATTTATGTTCAGAATCGATGTCCATATTCGAAGTTAGAAGATCAAACACCACAAGAAGCATGGAGTGGACAAAACCCAACAGTTTCTCATCTCAAAGTATTTGGTAGTGTAGCTTATGCACATGTACCAGATCAACGAAGAACGAAAGTTGAAGATAAAAGTCAGAAGTACATATTTATTGAGTATGATGAGAAGACAAAATGGTACAAGTTATTCGATCCCATAAGCAAGAAGGTCATAGTGAGTATAGATGTTCGAATAAAAAAAGTGAGCAAGTAGTACTAGAACAATTCGACAAAAGTTATCGACGAAGTTGAAGAATCATCTATCGTTGTACCAACAAGCATTTCAATAGAACATGAAGATTTTTAAAATGAGGATGAACCTCTACAACCCAGAATGCAAATTTTGTAAGATTTGTATGATTCGACAAATGAGGTACACCTTGTATGCCTTCTGACAAATGCTAAAAACATCAGTTTCGAAGAAGCGTTACGAGACAAGAAGTGGAAAAGTGCCATGGATGAACAGATTAGAGAAATATACCGCAACAACACTTGGGAGCTAGTCGAATTGCCAAAAGGTAGTCAACTCATTGGTGTAAAGTGTGTATTCAAGAAAAATATGAACACTCAAGGAGAAATAGAACGATACAAAGTGCGACTTGCTGCGAAGGTATACAAACATAAAGTAGGAATTGACTATGACAAAGTATTTTCATCTGTTTCAAGAATGAAGACAATTCGATTGCTCATTTCTCAAGCTGCTCAATTCAAATGGATGATATTTCAAATGGATGTCAAGACAATATTTTTGAATGGTGTACTCGAAGAAGAAGTTTATGTCGAACAACCACTCGGGTATATAAGGATTGGAGAAGAGAAGAAGGTGTTGAATTTGAAGAAAGCGCTATATGGGATGAAGCAAGCACCGTAGGCATGAAACACACGTATCGACACATATTTCAAGGAGAATGAGTTCGAGCAATGTCCGTATGAACATGCCCTCTATGTGAAGAAAAATGGAAGTAACGTATTACTTGTTGCTCTCTATGTCGATGACCTTATTTTTCTAGGAAGTAATGATCAGATGATAGAAGAATTCAAGAGCACAATGACACATGAATTCGAAATGATAGACTTTGGTCTGATGAGATTCTTTCTTGGTCTGGAGGTTCGACAAGAAGAAATAGGAATATTTATTTCACAAGAAAAGTATGCAAAAGAAATCTTGAAAAAATATAAGATGAAAAGTTGTAATCCAACTTCGACGCCAATGCAACCAGGTGCAAAGTTGTCGAAATTTGATGGAGGAGAACATGTCGAAGTAATAAAATATCGAAGCTTGGTAGGTAGTATTAGTTATCTCACATGTACAAAGCCGAATATTTCATTAAGTGTCGGCATTGTAAGTCGATTCACAGAGGAGCCAGTATATTCACATTGGAAGACATTGAAACGAATCCTAAGGTACATCCAAGAAAAAATTTCATTTGGAATGTTTTATTTAAGAAAAGAAGACTATAAGTTGATTGGTTACTCTGACAATGATTGGTGCATATATATAGACGATCAAAAAAGTACTTCTGGATATGTGTTCTTCATGGAAAATACCGCATTTATTTGGCTAACTGAGAAGCAACTGATAGTAACACTTTCGACATGTGAAGCTGAATATATAGCCGCATCTTGGTGCGTTTGTCATGCAGTATGGCTTAGAAGATTGTGAGAAAAATGGAGCTAAAACAAGAAGGTGCAACAGTAATACAAGTGGACAACAAATTGGCAATTGAGTTAGCAAAGAATCCAGTAAACCATGAAAGAAGCAAACACATTGACATTTGCTTCCACTTCATTCGAGAACATGTGAAGGAAGGGAGTGTCGAATTGAGGCATGTAGCAAGCAAGGATCAAGCAACAAATATTTTCACAAAACCATTATCGAAAGAAATTTTCGACAGAGACAAGAAATTGATAGGCATGATGGATAAAAGAAACATTTAAGTTTACAGAGGAGTTTTATTGAATAAACTTTAATGTTATAGTTAATGGATTTCTATTAATAAGTTAGTGGAACAATTAAGAGTCTGTTGTAGTTGGAAGACCAAGAGATAGTGGTCTATAATAGTATTTATTAATGTTATTTGTTTTCCTAGAACAACATAAATCTTTGAGTCTATATAAAGACCAATATTGTATTCTATTAAATAAGAAGTTATAAAAGTATTGCTTCCTTCTATCAAAATTGTCATTTCCTGATGCATACCTATTATTATTATAATATTAATAGGACAAAGGTTTTGAAGATGCAAAACTCATAATTGAAGCCATAAAAAGTGAAGGTGTTGCATCTGTCGGAGTTGCTGGATTTTGTTGGGGTGGTGAGTGCTACTCATTCTACTTATTTCATATGCTTCCCCTCTCCTTTTTGTTGGTGCAAGATAATGAAAGGGGAGAAGAAGAATGAGCAATGAATGATAACAAAGAGGACTACTATTATATATCAAATAGAGGAATGAATGAGTTACAATATTGATAGCCTAGGTAGCATATTTATACTAAAAATTGAAAATGCCAAAAGGCCCTATTAAAGAATAAGCATTGAGAATTGTAGACATTAACTAAATTATATTTCCAATACCATCCCTTAATTTAAATAATCTATCAGAAGCTAACAACACCAATTTCATCTCTCAAGCAAAGAAATTGATCTGTTTTAACTACCTTTGTCAGAAGATCTACAAGTTGTTTCTGAGTGCTACAGTGCAGAACTTCTAACACTCCTTTCTGTACTTGACTTCTAAGAAAATGATACTTCGTCTCAATGTGCTTGCTTCTTCCATGTAGCACTGGATTCTTGGCAAGATCAATTGCAAGAGATTCATAAGCCAAACAACTTGACAAGCAGCTACAACACCTGCGATATACTCAGCTTCACATGTTGGCAGAGCCACGATAGGCTGTTTCTTGGAACTCCAGGAAATGGGACCTCCCAGAAATTTAAACAAGTATCCAGAAGTACTTCTCATGTCCACTCTGTCTCCACACCAGTCAGAGTCAGAATAACTTACTAATTTTGATTCTGTCTTTCTTTCGGAAGGAAACAACACTCCATATCTCAGAGTTCTCTTGATATATCTCAGAATTCTGACAGCAGCTTGGAAATGAGACCACTTTAGATTACTCATGAATCTTCGAACCAATCCAACTGCATAACAAATGTCAGATCTAGTATTACATAAATATCTTAGAGAACCAACCAACTGTTTGAAGGTTGTAGAATCAACAGAATCACCATCAGAGTCAGAATCCAATTTTTGATTGGTTTCTGATGGTGTCACAACAACTTTTCATTTATGCAACTTAAATCTCTTTAGAAGTTCTAGTTCGTACTTTAACTGATGTAGAATGATACCCTTCTTATAGTAAAAAATCTCCATCCCTGGGAAATATGTCATTTTTCCTAGACCTGTCATCTCGAACTCATTCATTAGAACTTCTTTGAATTTCTTTATATCTTCTGGTCAGCTACCTGTTAGCAAAATTTCATCAACATAGAGACACACCAAAATCATATTGTTATCAGAGTGTTGTACATAAACTCCATATTCCATCTCACATTTATGAAACCTCTACTTCTTGAAAAACGAATCAATTTTCAGATTCCAAGCTCTAGGCGCTTGCTTCAGTCCATACAGAGCTTTATTCAACCTGTATACCATTCCTTCCTGATTCTTTTTCACAAATCCAAGAGTTTGTGACACATAAACTTATTCCTATAATGGACCGTTCAGAAATACAGACTTCACATCCAGATGCATTAAATGCCAATTTATATTTGCAGCTAAAGCAATCACCAGTCCGATTGATTCGTGCCTAGCTACAGGCGCAAACACCTCAAAGTAATCTAGCCCAGGTTTTTGAAGAAAACCTATAACTACTAGTCTAGCTTTGTGCTTGCCAATTGAACCATCTGGCTTAAGTTTCAACTTAAAACCCCATCTGACACTAATGGTTTTTTTCTTATCTGGAAGTTTTGTCAATTTCCAATTTCTGTTCCTTTCTATTGCCTCAAGTTCTTCTTTCATGGAATTAAGCCATTCTTTCTTCTTGAGAGCTTCTTCAATGCCCACTGGTTCAAAATCTACTAACATGGCACACTGAGCGACTTCTTCTTCAGTGTCAACTTCATTATCCTGCAACATGTCAAAATCTACAAACCTTCTTGGTTTTTGTCTGATTCTCTGTGGTCATTGAGCTTGTTCTGAAGCTGTACCAGAACTACTACTTTCAGAGTTACCACCTTCAGAGTTTTTCCTTCCAGAACTATGATCACCACCAGATTTTGGATCATCATCAGCATCTGGATCAGAATCAGATCCATTGCCAGAATCTTCTTCTGACTCATCTTCAGAATCTTCAGGATCTTCAGAATCAGATTCATCTTCTGAACTTTCTAAAACATCTTCAGAGGATAACTCTGGTGTTGGCACTACACCAGAATCTGATTGAGATTTATTCCAATCCCATGCTTCATACTCTTTCACCACAACTTCTCTGCTGACTTCAACTTTATTAGTTTCTGGACAATAAAGCTTATATGCACATGTACTGTGGTACCCCACCAGCAACATTACTTTGCTTCTATCATCCAGTTTTTGTCTTCTAGCTTCTGGAACGTGTTTGTAACAGACAGAGCCAAACACCTTCAGATGACTGACACTCTGCTTATCTCCAGTCCATTTCTCTAAAGGAACAACTTCCTTTAGTTTCTTTGTTGGACACCTATTCAGAATATATGCTGACGTGGCAATAGCTTCTCCCCATAGCACGTGAGGTAGCTTTTTCTCTTTCAGCATGCTTCTGGTCATATCAAGCAAAATTCTGTTTCTTCTTTCAACAAGACCGTTGTGCTGAGGAGTATATGGAGCAGTAACCTCATGTTCTATTCCACTCTCCTCACAGAACTTCTGAAACACAGTAGAGTTATACTCACCTCCACCATCTGTTCTCAGAATTTTTAACTTCTGACCACTCTGCTTCTCAGCCTTCACTTTGAATTTCTGGAACTCAATAAACACTTCATGCTTGAATTTGATGAGTGTTACCCATGTCATTCTTGTGAACTCATCCACAAAAGACACAAAATAATTGTTTCCTCCAAGTGAAGGTACTGGAAATGGTCCACACACATCAAAATGTACTACTCCCAGAGCATGCTTCGCTCAGGGGGCTACTTCTGATGTAAATGGTAATCTAGGTTGCTTGCCTTTCATGCATATCTCACATGACTTCTCAGGCTTCACAATCTTTGAAATACTATGTACAAGCTTCTTAGAACATAGATGCCCTAAGCTTCTATAGTTCAAATGCCACAACCTCTTATGCCACAACTTACTATTATTTTCAGCGCCTTCTGCACTAAGACATGTTGCTTTAGCTATTTCTACATTTACCTTGAATGTTCTGTTGCCTCCTTGTTTAGACTTCATAATCAACTTCTGATTGGAATCATACAATGTCAGAAGATTATTTTTCATAACAACTGAGAAACCTTTCTCAATCAACTGATCTACGCTCATCAGATTGCTTCTAATACCAGGAACATACCAAACATCTTTGATCAAAATGTCTTTCCCATTATTCACTCTAACTCCGACATCTCCCATACCTTCTGCATTAAAATACTTATCGTCAACACATATGATCTTTGTTCTCCTTCTGGAGTCAAAGTCTGTCAGTCATTGTTTGTTTCCAGTTAAATGATTTGAATAATCAGTGTCCATATACCACCAATCTTCTGAGCATTTTCCATCAGAATCAGAAGCCATTAGTAGTACAGGTTCATCATCGGAGTTTCTCTTAGCCATATATGCTTCTTCTGATTTCCTTTCCTTGTTTGACCTACAATATCTAGCAAAATGGTCAAATTGTTTACAAGAGTAACATTGAACCTTCCTTTTGTCATACCTCTCCTTTCCTTTATGATATTTCTTATCATCAGAAGTTGAGGCTTCTGACTTCTGGAATCTATCACCACGCTTATTATGCTTCTGGTCTTTCTTGACAAAAGAAGCCTTCAGAGCTTGCTCAGCTTCCCTCTCAGAAGTTCTCTCAGACAGACGTAACTCCTGTGCTTCTAGGTTGCTTTGTAATTTTTCTTTTCTCATGGTTTCCAGATCTTTAGAATGTTCAATAGAAACAACAATGTAATCAAACTGAGGAGTAAGCGACCTCAGAATCTTCTCTATAATTACCTATTCAGACAGAGTTTCTCCACACGTCTTCATCTCGTTAGTGATCAGAATCACTCTAGAGATATATTCAGAAACTTTCTCACTGCTCTTCATGTTCAGGTTCTCATATTTATTTCGTAGGGATTAAAGCTTCACATTCTTTATTGATGCGTCACCACTGTAACATCTCACCAGTAAATCCCACGCCCCTTTTGACGCTGTTGAATCAGCAATCTTCTCGAACATACTTTCATCCACACACTGATGGATATAGAACAGAACTTTCTGGTCCCTCTTCCTCATCTTCCTCTCAGCAGTTCTCTGTTCTTCAGTTGCATCTGCTGCAGGTGGTACATAACCATCTGTAACCAGATCCAGAACATCTTGCGCACCAAACAGCACACACATTTGTATCATCCATCTGTTCCAGTTTTTGCCATTAAAAACTAGAAGTTTGGTGTTCAAACTATTGTCTCCACTCATTTTAAACCTTGCACAAATTTTTCAGATCTTCAAACACATTGTTTCCCAATCCACAGAATCAGATTCTGTTCAGATTTTTGTTCAAGATTTCAAAAAAAAAATCAAAATCAAACACACAGGTCACAATCACTCGTGTTTCCCAGGAAAACAAAACCAAGTGCTCTTGATACCAATTTGTTGGTGCAAGGTAATGAAAGGGGATAAGAAGAATGAACAATGAATGATAACAAAGAGGACTATTATTGTATATCAAATAGAGGAATGAATGAGTTACAATATTGATAGCATAGATAGCATATTTATACTAAAAATTGAAAATGCCAAAAGACCCTATTAAAGAATAAGCATTGAGAATTGTAGACATTAACTAAATTATATTTCCAATACTTTTCTATGAACACATTTCAGCTCCTGATTTGATGGGTTTACTTATCGGCCGAGTTTAATGCTCTAAATGCAACTAAGCTAAAATTGAACTCACACCATGTGATATATTTCCTTCCTTTTCTCAGGTAAGGTTGTTACTGAACTCGCAAAATCCAAACTTATTGAAGCAGTTGTGCTATTGCATCCATCATTTGTCTCTCAGGATGACATAAACGGTATGAATTTTCAATGTTCAAATTTTCTTCCCTCCAAACTCAAATCACTTTTCACTTTGCAGTGATTGAATAAAGATAAGGCAGAAGTAGTTGAAGCATATTTCTTAACTACTCTGAAATGTTCATATTCTAATGGTTAGGTGTTGACATTCCAATTTCTATACTTGGAGCTAAGATTGACATGTGTTCTCCTCCAGAGCTTGTCAAACATTTTGAAGAAATCCTTACGGCTAATTCTGTGGTCAGATTTATTTTTCTTTCATTCGTTGATATTTCGATCTTATATTTTTTTCTTATGTATGTACACGTGCCCATAATTAGCCAAATTGGTTTACTTAGCTTCTTCACCTTTTTAAACCCTAGTAATTTTTGTTGTGCAGACAAGTTTTTGTGAAAATGTTTTCTAAAGTTTCACATGGTTGGACTGTGAGATACAATCCAGAGGATGCAGAAGAAGCGAAGGCAGTAGAGGAGGCACATCAGGACTTGCTGGACTGGCTTGCTGAACATCTCAAGTGGGAAATCTTTGTCACTTGATATCGTCTGGATCTACGTGTGTACCCGAAGTGCAATATGCAACCTACTGCATATTCCACAAAGCTTTAGTTTACCGCATAATAAAGTTTTATTGTTTCGTGTTGGATATGGATTATAGATAAATTCAGCAACACGTATAGGTAAAAAAAAGTATGTTCCTTCCAGTGGACAGTTGTAACTTTTTATATTAAGAAATCATATTTTAAGACTTATATTTTAAATGCTGCAGCTCATATAGTTTGTTACATTTAGTTATAAATTTTGTTACAATTTGTTAAATCAATTGACAGGAATAACTCAGATAATTCAGTTTCAGTTGGAGCATGTTTCAGAGATTATGCTGGTTTCCTTTATCACCTCAACAATAAATAAGCAGTAAACCCTAAAAGTATTATCATAAAATCTTAATCTAGTGAACAACATCATAGTTGATGTTTCATTTATAAATTCAAAAAAGAGAAAATGAGGCCATGTTATGAAGAAATTACATTACAGGTTCTGAATGCTGCTCAAAAGCACAAATTCTTAAACCAAACCAAACTCTGGAGTAGGCCATGTTGAAATACTTGGTGGTCTAGACACCTATGTCAGTGGTTCCCCGACCCCAATCTTGCCATTTGTATGGTTTCTGAAGTATTAAGTTTTTGGTACTTAGTACTTGATTCATCATTTATCATCGTACTTGATTCATCATTTATCATCGTATACTCTTCATGTACTTGATTCCTTTTCATTTCATTTTTTAGGGTTATGGGTTTGGGAATAGTTTTAGCTCCCAAATTCATCAACTATTATTTTTCTTTAGGGTTAGTTTAGAAAACAACTATGGAGTTTGCATACGGATGATTCGGAGTGGATTGCTCTTCGATCGATGCTGAAAAACTGAGAGATTTGTGGTTTATTTCTCTTTTTCTTTATGTATTCTTTGTTTGTTGAGTTTGTATATGTATTTACTTTGAACTCATGTACTAGCGTTTGAGAAACGAGTTGTGAGAATATACGTATGATGCACCAACTTTATATTTTATTGTCATTCAACTTTACTTGAAATTTCATACATTCCCTTTAAATTTCAGTCGAAATCCTTTTACATTCTAGTTTTATCTGTAAAGCATTACATTACCGTATACGAAGTAATAATTGAAATTAACTTTGTCTAAAAGAATAAGAATATTGTCGAAAATATTCTTTATTTTAAGAACAGGAGTTTTGAATGAGAACACATGTACTTAGGATCAATCTGGTCGATCCTACAGGTAACCAACTTTTATTAGATTTAGAAGACCAACGGTTATTTACCAAATTTCACGGTAAACATTATCCTGTATGAATTATTCTATCAAAATACATGATTTTGTCATCATCAAAAAGGGGGAGATTGTAAGAACAAAGTGGGTTATACATCTGGCCTTATGTTTTGATGATAACTTTACATGTTATCTTTAAGAACAATTGTGTACTCTAACATGTTTTTGTCTAGTGTGTGGCTTTTGCTATAACAGGTTCTGACTCTTGTAAGAAGGTGTGTGATGTCATCATGTTCTGAACTCAACACTCTGGAAGAATACCTTTGGTGTGTTACAAAGTTAAGTCAAGATTAAGGAATGTGTCTTATGCAACGATTCTAAAAAACGTTAGTAAAAAAGCTTCTGATCGTGACTTATTCAAGGAAGCTTTGGAGGCCTTCTAAAGCTTTACTTTTGATGTTCCAAGTTCTGAAGATGGTAAAGACAATGTTCTTCTTAACGAAGTTCTGAAGATCTGAAGATATTCTTCTGAAGACCAAGTGCTGAAGACTGAGAAGGCAAGAGTTCTCTGAACAAGTCCTGAAACGTTCTAATGACTTAGGTTCTGGAAGATACTAGTTCTGATTCTTCTACAACATACTTCATCAACAAACATATCAGAAGTCTCTGAAGACATAGAATACGAAGATCAAGACTAAGGGATTGTGTGTGATGGTGAGTATAAAAGTACAAAAATACATTGTGACCTCTACTCTCTAAAGTAACGTAAGGACAAACCTTTTTGTACTATCGTCTACTAGTCTCACTATGATCGTTGGGAACAATACAACTGCGTTAGTATTTCATATTCTACCCTCTAACGAACATCTTCTTTTAAGCTATAAAAGAAGTACTTGAAAGAAATTGAAATTAACGAATCAGTTCAACAAAACTACACTAAACTGCTGCACAAAATTTTTGTAGAGAAATCTTTTGTATAGTTTTATAAATAAGCAAGAAGTTGTTGCTCGTATCTTGCTATCAACACTTTTATGTTACTGTGCTTAAACTTTTTGTAATCTGCTTGTGTAGAAGTATCTTTGTATACACGTCTTTGTAATCAATTGTTGTTGATTAATTCTTTGAGAGACTCTGTGTAGTCTGGATTCTCAAGAAGAATTTGGTTGCAGTGATAGTGGTTTGCAATAAGGATCGGCGGACTTATTAGGGGTTCCAATAGGGTTGATCGAACTTATTATGATTATTTGTAATTTGGTTGATTATAGTGAATTAAGTTCTTGTATATAAGACAAATCACCTTGCGGGGTGGACTGGAGTAACTTAGTTAACAGTGAACCATGATAAAAATAACCGTGTTCATCGTTTTTTATTCACTTGTTATCTTTGTGTTTTGAGTTGCAAAAAGATTATATTTGGTGCAACCCAATTCAAATCCCCCAATTTTTTGTGTTTCTCGCACCTTCAAATACTGCTTTGATAGAAGTGTGTCTAACGAGCGGATTGAAAATCTCATCATAATCTCTTTCTATTGTGAATACCCCTTTGCAATTAGGAAAGCCTTGAACTTTTTCCCTTCTTTTTTGTTACTATTGGCATTTTTTTTGTACACCCACTTGCAATCAATAGTTCTCTTTCCTTGTGGCAACTGAACAAAATCCTATGTCTCGTTTTATTTCAAGAACTCCATCTCCTCCACCATAGCACATATCCACTTATCTTTCTCCTGGCTAGCCAAGCCTCTCGAAAGGTAGAAGGGTCTCCTGAACTGATAAGAAGAGCATATGCTGCTAAGTCTTTATACCCATATCTCAGTAGAGGTGTAATACGATGAAACTCCCTATTATGCACAAGTGTATAGTCTTGTATCCCACCCGGAACTTGCACTTCACCCGACTCTGAGCTTGATTCATCATGTTGTTTTTCTATTCTTGGACCACTTTTTCATTTCAGAATCCAATGTCTTACCCTTGCCTCAGTCCTGACCTCCCTTCACAAACAAATCTTCACCTGAACTTACTCTATATTCCTCTATACTTCGATAATATTATACGTATTGTAAAAGAGTAAAAGAAATAGAATCTAACATGATTGTTTCTTTCTTATATGTGAGAGTGTTCATCAAATAATATTAAGAGTCGAGTAAAGAACATAAGGTAAAACCGACCGCCTGCATGGTAACCATAATGTAACTTTCACTATTTTTTTATTGGCCAATTTAATTGACTTTTTCAAAGAAGTCAATTTCTCTGTATAGATACGTGTAGTATACATACTCGCATATATAGATACTAACGTGTAATATCTAGCACCTGGAATCATCGAAGCAAGACAGTAAGCATGTCAGGTCCAGAATGTTGCTCAAATCCACCGGCACTGAATCCGAGTGCAGGATCTGGTCACGTTGACAAGATCGGTGCTCTCGATGCCTATGTCGCCGGTTCTCCTAATTCCAACTCCGCCGTTCTTCTCGTCTCCGATATTTTTGGTACCAAACTCCCAAAATAACTGGAGCAAATTCTTTCCATTTTCAACACCAATACTGTTGAACTTTTTATTATATCTTATTCATTTTTTTAGTCAAACTTTATATTTTGCTCAAAAGTATGTTTTGTTTGTTCCACTTCTACAGGAAAATTAAATTGATTTTAGACTTTTAAAATTCATTTTGATACACGTTTGACTCTGTGTCTCTAAAATTGAGTTTTACTTTATAATTGCTTATAATTTGGAGTTTTGATTCTAGAATTTTTTGTTGTATCATTGACTCACTTTTAGTCAAAATTAGTTTTGCATAATCACTTTATTTAGAAGTAATTTCTGCATCATTCTGCTTTGTTATCCTTGAATTTTTTATATAGTTTTTCAGACTATGAAATTCATGTCCATAGAAAAGTAAATATAATTAGTATTATTCTGTGTATTTTGACTAAAAACTTCATTTTTCTTGCAGGATATGAAGCACCAAATTTAAGGTATGGCTGATTCTCTGGTCTATTACATGTATCTAGTTTAGTAATTTTTGATAGATTAATTATCTTTTGGCTTCACTGTGTCAAAACCCGAAGTGATGTCTCTTGTAATTGAATTTGAAAGGGATAAATGGGATTATTTAGGCTTTTTCCTGCTAGGTTTTGGTGATTGAATTATAGTGCCGGCTTAAGTGAGCTCTAGCTCCGGTTTCTTTTCATATTCATGTTCTCTTTAATCCAATGACTCATATACATAATGATGTATGCTCTTGTACATAATGTTAGATTTGACTAAATTTTTAACAGGCAATGCATTTGTCGTATAATTATTATGCGCTCTCGCTCTCTTTATTGTGTCCATTGTAATGTAAACACCTGTTAAGTAATAATTGTTTGTTCTTTGCTATGAAGGAAGCTTGCAGACAAAGTTGCAGCTGCGGGTTATTACGTCGTTGTCCCGGACTTCCTTAATGGGGAACCCTACAATCCTGAGAACCTTAATAGGCCCTTGCCTATTTGGATAAAAGATCATGGAACGGTTAGTACTTGTTTAGAAATTATTGGTTTTTTAATGATTTTTCCTCTTCATAAGTAAAAAAGAAACAATTTTTCTAATAAATTTAAATCCAATTTGGTTATTTATTGGAAATTTTGATTTTGGAAGGAGCACGAATAAATTCAGATGCGTTGCTCCCACCTTTATTGGTAGTTTATGTTTGTTGATTGAACATCACAAATTTTATCAAATGAAATGTACAAACCGTATCAAACCTTTATTATATTAATAGGACAAGGGTTTTGAAGATGCAAAACTCATAATCGAAGCCATAAAAAGTAAAGGTGTTTCATTTGTCGGGGCTGCCGGATTTTGTTGGGGTGGTGAGTGCTGCTATTCTACTTATTTTTTCATATGCATCCCCTCTCCTTTTCTACAAAGACATTACAGCTCCTTAATCAATTGATAGGTTTACTTATCGTTCAGATTTAATGTTTGACATGCAACTGAGCTGAAAATTGAACTCGGTCAATGTAATATATTTACATCCTTTTCTCAGGTAAGGTTGCTACTGAACTTGCAAAATTCAAACTTATTCCAGCTGTTGTGCTATTGCATCCATCATTTGTCTCTGTGGATGACATAAAGGGTATGAATTTTCAATGTTTGAATTTTTGTGTTTATGTATCTGTTAAAACAATATACAAATGATTATATATTAGTGCAAAAATTAGGAATTCATTTGTTTCTAACGGCTAATTAAGATGCAGTTCTAATCGACTAGGCATTTAATTTATGCTTCTAGAGGCTAATTATATGATGCACAGGTAGTTTACATTTGGCTTTTTCTTTCTCTTCCCTTTGTCTATGCTTCTTTAGTTACAGTTTATTGAATTTATGTCGGTATTAATTGATTATGCAAAGGTTCTATTTTATTTGGAGCTTCATCCCTGCAAACTCAAATCACTTTTCACTTTGCAATGATTGAATTAAGACAAGGGAGAAGTAGTTGAGGCATATTTCTTAACTACAGGGATGTTCATATTCTAACAGTTATTATTCCTCTTAAATTCAGGTGTTGACATTCCAATTTCTATACTTGGAGCTGAGATTGACAGACTTTCTCCTCCTGAGCTTGTCAAACAGTTTGAAGAAATCCTTACTGCCAATTCTGTGGTCAGATTATTTTTCTTTCGTCCCTGGTTATCTGCCATGCTTTGATATTCCAATTTCATTTTTTTTTCGGTTCTTAAGTTCACACACATATTGTTGGTTACAAGAATATATAATTAGTCAAATTGTTTTACTTTGCTTCTTCACCTTTTTGAACATTAGTGATTCATGTACCCATTTTTGTTGCGCAGACAAGTTTTGTGAAAATATTTCCCAAAGTTTCACATGGTTGGACTGTGAGATACAAACCGGAGGATGCAGAAGAAGTGAAGGCTGCAGAGGAGGCACATCAGGATTTGCTGGACTGGTTTGCTAAACATCTCAAGTGAGAAATCTTTGTCAGTTGATGTTGTCTGTATCTATGTGTGTACTTGAAGTGCAGTATGCAACATGCTGCACATTCCACAAAGCTTCAGTTTACCACAAAATAAATGCTGTATTGTTTCGTATTGGACACGAATTATAGATAAGTTCAGCAGCGTGTATAGTAAAAAAATGTAATGTTTCTTCTTGTGGACAGATGTAATTTGTGATATCAAGAAATCATATTTTAAGACTTATATTTTGAATATCGGGTTTTAATCGAACTTATATGTTCTTTGTTTATTCTATGATGAATGAAAGGAAACTCTGCAAAGGTGCTGAAATAAACAGTCATTTTGACTATGTCCGTCCCAGCAATCAACATAATGTCAGTGATTACGCAAGTTGAAAATTGAAGATTATTTACTAATCATATATTTTCCTCTCTAAAGATTATGCTGCTTTCAGTCATCACCTCAATAATAAATAAGCAATAAACTCAGAATGTCTTATCATAAAATCTTAATCTAATGAACATTTTAGTTGATGGTTTATTTATAAATCCGAAAACAGAGGAATGAGGCCCATGTTGTGAAGAAATTACATTACATTACAGAAGAAAAATGGCAGGTCCTGGATGCTGCTCAAACGCACCAATCTCAACCCAAACTCAGGTGTAGGCCATGTTAAAAAACTCGGCTGTCTAAACACCTATGTCCCGGTCCCTCCGACTCCAACTTTGCCATTCTTATGGTTTCTGAAGTTTTCGGTACCTTAAAACTCTTCCCCTTCTTAGAACCTGGGTTATCATTTATCATCATCATGCGTTGTTCTATGATGTACTACTGTATTTACTTTTAATCATGTACAATATATGGTCAACTTATTTTGCAGGATTTGAAGCTCCGAATCTAAGGTATGTATGATTTTAATGTCTGTCTTTGATAAATGGTCCTTAATACAGAGTTGAAGTCCATGAAAAAGCACATGTTCTATTAGTTGTAATGCAAAATTTATGCTCTTTTGTTTCTGTTTAAAAGAAAACTCGGAGACAAGGTTGCAGCAGCTGCAGGATACTATGTAGTGCTTCCTGATTTTTTATACGGATATCCTCTTACTTCTGAGAATGCTAACAGACCTCTACCTGTTTGGCTAAAAGATCATCAACCTGTAAGTTCTTTTACTTCAAAGATTGCATATTCTTTGTGAACATATAATTTGTGTGCTCGCTTAGAATTTGAAGTTTTAAAATGCAAAGGTTCTGTTAACAGAATGAAGCTTTTGAAGATGCAAAACCAGTAATTGAAGCTTTAAAATCAAAGGTATTTTGTCTATAGGAGCTGCCTCTTTTTGTTGGGTGGTGAGTTCCCAATTCCAACTTATCTTTGTTCTACTTCAGAATTTAGTTTTACAACACTTGTACATTGCGCACTGTTAATATTTTAAATATATAGTAGAATAGTCACACATCGACCATATCATGTAATTATCATGTAATTAGCTATAATCTCTCTATATATAATAAAGTCTCCATAGTACTTTTCAAAACACACGGTTTATTCAAATGTCTCTTAGTCTCTCGTATTTTAACATGGTATCAGAGCCTACTGAGAGACAATCTTTCACCGTGCTTTATCCGATTGACCCATTGTTTTCCGGTGAATTTTTTTTGACAAACCGTGTCATAACTCCGGTTTGTCTTCCATACATTGTCGTGACTCATTCCGGCATCAGTTTTCGAATTTCTCCGATCACACCGAACTGCCGCCGAAATATAAATTATTTTATTAGTTTTGAACAATTTTATAAAGAAATAAAAATTCAGTTTGGTACCTTAAGAAGTGATAATGCTCGTGAATACTTATCCCAACAATTTCAAAATTTTGTGACCAGCAATGGTATACACCTCAATAAAATGGGATAGCCGAACGTAAAAATCGGCATCTCGTAGAAGCCACTCGGACCCTACTTCTCCATGATAATGTTCCACTTCAGTTTTTGGGGATGTGTGCTAACGACATGTTACCTTATAAATCACATGTCCTCGTCAGTCCTTAACAATAAAATCTCTCATTCAATTCTTTACCTAATTCCCCACTTCACCCAATTCCTCCCCGACTCTTCGGGTCCACATGTTTTGTACACAATCTCTCTCCTGGTCTTGATAAAATATCAGCTCAATCACTAAAGTGTGTCTTTCTTGGTTATCATCGATCTCAAAAATGTTATTGTTTCTATTCACATACTCTACAATGATACTTCGTATCAACCAATGTTACCTTCTTCGAGTTCGTTTCGTATTTCAGATTCAGCCAAATAGTACTCTCACACCTCTTCTAGAAATCCCATTTGTCATTGGATCCTATCATTCTAGGAAACCTGGCCTACTAGATACCAATACGGTTAACCCCCCCCCCCCCCCTCACCCACTTCTCGCCCACTTAAAACATATCAGCGTCGTCAACCAACGTCTGACGTACCTGTCCCTAAGGTCGTACTTGTCCCTGAGTTCATTGCAGACTCTTCTCTGACGCTCTCGTCGTCACCATAACCGATCTTGCAATTTGAGTCCGATCTTCTGATTGCCCTTCGAAAAGGTTTACGTCAAACACGAAATCCTTCTCCACGTTATATTGATTTATGTTATCACAGTCTTTCTTCTTTGCAGTATACTTCATTGTCTTCTGTTTCTATTCCTAAAATTCCAGGTGAAGCATTATCTCACCCTGAGTGGAGGCAAATAATGATTGATAAAATGTGTGCTCTTCAAAGTAGTGGTACCAGGGAACTGGTTTCTCTACTCCCTGGGAAATCTTTAGTAGGTTGTCGTTGGCTTTACACAGTGAAGGTTGGTCTAGATGTTAAGATTGGTCGATTTAAAGCTAGTTTGATAGCCAAATGATACACTCAAATTTTTGAGTTAGATTATAGTGATACTTTCTCGCATATAGTCAAGATGGCATCTGTTAGACTTCTTCTAGCCATTGCAACCATTCGATATTCGTCTCTTCATCAACTTGACATCAAAAATGTATTTTTACATGGTGATCTTGAAGAGGAAGTATAGATGGAGCAACCATCTGAGTTTGTTGCTTAGGGGGCGTCATCGAATATCGTGTGTAGGCTACACAAGTCTCTTTATGGTCTTAAGCAATCTCCGAAATTTTGGTTTGGCAGTTTCAGCATTGTAGTACAACAGTTTGATATGGTCTGTAGTGAAGCTGACCATTCTGTTTTTTATCATCACTCTGCCCAAGGGCGTATTTATCTTATTGTGTATGTAGATGATATTGTCATAACATGTAGTGATAAGCAGAGAATACTCCAGTTGAAACATCTCTCGAATCAATTTCAGATAAAATGATCTTGGTAAACTTCTTTATTTCTTGGGTATTGAGACAGTCCAATCTAAAGATGATTTGATGATTTCTTAGCGGAAATATGTCATGGGTATTTTAGAAGAAACATGTTTGTTGAATGTTAAACTAGTTGATACTCCTATATATCCAAGTGTCTAACTACTATCCAATCATGAGGAGTCTCTATCTAAATCAGTAAGATATAAGAGATTGGTTGGAAAGTTGAATTATCTCACAGTCACTCATCTGGACGATTCTTTTGCAATCAATGTGGTAAATCAGTTCTTAAATTTTCCTTGTTAGGAACACATGGATGTTGTTATCCGGATTTTGAGATACATCAAATGTGCTCCGGAAAAATGTCTAGTGTATGAAGATAAATGACATACTCAGATAGTTGGATACTCTGATGCTTATTGGGCAAGGAAACCCATTGATAAACGATTCACCTCTGGGTATTGTGTACTTGTTAGAGGAAACTTTATATCCTGGAAAAGTAAGAAATAAAACATAGTTGCAAGATCAATGGCTGAGACAAAGTATAAGGTCATGACAATGGCAACATGTGAATTCATTTGGTTAAAACAATTGCTCAAAGAACTTCAAATTGAAGAAGCAAGATCAATGACACTTGTTTGTTATAATCAAGATGCACTTCACATTGCTTCAAATCCAGTCTTCCATGAGAGGACCAAACATATTGAGATAGACTGTCACTTTGTCAGAGAGAATATTGAATCAGGCGACATCATCACAAGCTTTGTCAACTCTAATGATCAATTGGAAGATGTGTTTACAAAAATCATGCGAAGTTCCAAAACTAATTATATATGTGACAAGCTTTGTGCATTTGACTTATATGTTCAAGCTTGAGGGGGAGTGTTGATATTTGTAAATATATAGTGTTAAGAATATTTGTATATTGAATAGTCCTACATCGACTATATCATGTAATTAGATGTAACCTTTCTATATGTAATGAAGTTCCTATAGAGCTCTTCAAAACACACGGTTTATTCAAATGTCTTGGTCTCGTATTTTAACATGCACCAACCACTTACACTAGACTCTGGTGGTGTTTCTTTTTTGTTTTTGTTTGTTGTAATAGCATGTTTGAAAATCATGATTTAAATCTTAAAATCTCACGATTTTACGATCTCACTCACCCCGAACGATCTAGATGTTAAGTAGAATCGCGTGTGGTAGTCAAATTGTGGGGAAAAAAATTGGTAAAAATCAATGAATATGTGTGATAGGTCAATTCCGTATTTTCCTACCTCCACCATTACAAGCTTAGAAGGATGACAAGATACAAATGCACAATTTCGGTCTGACGACGTCTATTTTCCCACGAATACACGTGCCTATGAAAATATCATGTAAAAATACTTCAAATATGTAGTATTATTTTTCGTTTAAGAAGTATTTTACGGTTTTTGTTATGATCTTATGTTTAGAGATCTTGCTACCATCTCTCAATCTTACAAAAATAATTGAGTAAGTTCTTCCGATCTTAACTACGATCTTATATTTTACGATATTATTATTCCCTCCCGATCTTATTCAAGACCTCGATTTTGACAACCTTATCAAATATATGATTTTGATCAATTACTTGGATTTGACGAGACCAATAGATAAATAAACTTACAATCACAAATGTATATTGCTTAATTTACTAAGGTGATTGATTGGTGGTGATATTTCCTTTCCCTTTAACTTATTAGCCAAGACTTGTAGAACTTGTCGAGTCTAAATTAACCCAAGTTGTTGTACTACTACACTCATCATTTATCGCCTTGGATGACATCAAGGGTAAGAAGTAGACCAGTCAAATGGGTTGACCTGGCCTGTTTCGGTCTGGTAGGCCAAAATATTTAAATGGGTTGGCTAGGCTGTTTGCCGTGAAATTTGGTAAACAATCGCTAGTCTTCTAAAATAAAGATAATTTTTGGTTACTCGCAGTATCGATTAGATTGATCCTAGAACATGTGTCGAATATTGTGTTTGTTTTAATATTCCTACATGTTGTTCTATGTTGAAAAGATAAATACAACAAAGGTAAAAGTAAAGGCTAAAGTTTGCAGACAAAGGTAAAAGGTTTTTAAGTAAAAACTGGAAATGTAAAGGAATTCGACTGAAATGTTAAACAAAGGCAAAAAATTTGATTTAATGTAAATGACTTTGAATATAAAAATTGTGTTTCTATACGTACATTCTCAATGACTCTTTTCTCTAACACTGGTATTTCGAGTTTATATGAGAGATTTGTACAAAGTGAACATCTTGAATCCTAATACAAAGATCCATATTTATACTAATTCGACCCTAACAGTCTTTCTCTACAAAAGTGTCACGTTCGAGTCTTGCATGCTTCTTCGAATCGTCAGGCTTCCACGCGTCCTTCTGGATAAGACCAAAGCATTTGAATTCAAATCCTTGTCTAATTCGAAATGCCAAAACAACATGATGTGTCGAAATGATTTAAATTTCGAATCTTCATATTCCTTAAGTTCCATATATTCTACAACATGAGAACCTTTGTGACTTATTCAATCATAACCAAATTATTCATATTTTGGTCGGTCGAAGACCATGTGAAACATCTTCATATTTTCTTCCAAAGCTAAATGTGATCGGTGGATCTGGAACTGACTGTTTAACGCTGGTTCGCGAAATGTCGCGGTAAGCAAGAGTCGCCACCGTCTTTTATTTTCTCCAATTTGGAAAGGACAAAAGCACAGAAAAATTCCTTTTAAGAGATTGCTCTCGGTTCGGGAGGTAGGTTATAGAAAGGGAAGGTGTTAGCACCCTTTCTATCCATGGTTATCCATGGGCTCTTAGATACTTGCTCAATGTGTTTTCAAAATGTTTGCTTGCTTTTCAATGTGGGTTTCAAAAATATTCTTTGAAAAGTTTCAATTCAACTCGTACGTCAGAGTGTTTGAAAAGTTTGTTTTGAAAGTTTTTTGAAAGTG